CCCCTTCCTCTGAAAATAGTCCTCCCTTTATTCTTCAGAGTTCCCTTGAGTGTGCTGGGACGCGGACTAGTGAACCATCCTAGGAAATAACCCTCCACATTGTGGACAAGCAAATTTATTATTATTATTATTATTATTATATTTTAGAGAGAATGCATGCGCATGAGGTGGGAGAGTGGAGGGTGGTTGGGGGGGGAGAGGGAGAGGGGGAGAGAGAATCTTAAGCAGGCTTCATGCCCAGCACTGGGCCCCACAGGGGCTCGATCTCATGACCCTGAGATCATGACCTGAGCCCAAATCAAGAGTCGGAAGCTTAACCAACCGAGCCACCCCAGCACCCCAAGAAAATTTATTTTTAAAAGAAACCTGGTGTCACAGGTTTGATATTCTACTTATAGGTTTAAATGAATAGATGATAAATACATAACTACTAAAAGTTTGTGTACCAGTTAAACCAGTTCCTGAACCATTGGTGGGCTGCTTGTCCTGCTCACATCCTGGAGGGAGATTGTCTACCCAGCTTAGCTGATTGTCTTTCAGGTCATATCAAATAGGGTGCTCTGGGCTGTAAGTAACAGAAACCCCAGTGAAGCAGACTTAAATAATGGCATTTACTACCTCACACAACTGAAGTACTGGAATTGTGAGTGTGAAGAATGGCCGTTTTAGGGGCTCAGTTATCTCCTCACAGACTAAGTCCTTGCCACCTCTGTGCTAGAAGTTTCGGCGTTGGTTTAACTCCTGGCAGTAGCAAGATGGCGGCAGCATCCCATTGAGACACAGCGTGCAGGGAATAGGGGAGATTGTCTTTGTCATTTTCTTTTTCCTAGAAGTCCCCCAGCGGACTTTCCTATAAATTTCACTGGCTAGAACTGAGTCACATGTGCATTCCTTGGAAAGGGAAATGAAATGACCAGGTCCTCTGGGGTAGAGAGGATTTTGAGGTGAGGACCACAGTGTCCATCGGATATGTCAATGACTAGCCTATGGACAGGTTGTCATGGAGGCAGGTGCCCACTGTAGGTCCATTCAATGGCCACCCCTCGCCCCAACCCAGCCTAGCTCAAGGGCAGACCGTTCCTACCAGAGGAGGGGCTGGGGTATGGCAGATGCCACAATTGCCACATCTGTGCTCTCCCTTCTGGTGACCCTTTCTGTGCCTTCGAGCTCTGCCTGGCCTCAGGCTGAGCCATCGGCTTCCAGATCGATGCTGCCTCCTCCCTAATTCCCCCACACTCTGGCTCGAGGCAGACCTGTGCAAACAGAGCCAGCGCCCACCCCACCTTGGCCCCTGAATCTGGGAAGAGAGACTTTGCCCTAAGTCTGCTTTTGATGGGGCTGGGCCAGACCCACAGGGCTCATTTTCTCTGTCTCCTGCTAAATTCCCTGGCTGCTCCTCAGCTGTCAGGTTGCCAAGCCCCGAGCGTCTCCTGGCTCCGTCTGCAGCAGGAAATGGGCCTGACAATTGTTCTTCCAGAGCCGGTGATTTTTCAATATGTATTTGTGTGGATCCCACCCACATTTCATCTCTACAACCCAGCTTGAGTTCAGCTCTGATTTACTAAGCACGTACTACAAGCCCAGCTTTGTACTCAGCACCACGGGGGGGTGGGCGCAGAGGAAGCGTCTGACACGCTCTCTGCTTTGGGGCTTATCCTCCAGCCATAGCGACAGCCACACACTGGGAAAGTGAGATCACCAGCCAGGGGCGCTCGGTTTGGCTACAGGTCACGTACGTGGTCCAGATGAAAAATGCCCTGTGGGATCCAAGGAGGGCAAGAAAGACAGGGTGTGTGCTGATTATTCTGTCTGCCCTGGACTCAGGCTCAGAGACTCTCTGTTCCCTGCTGGGTGCCCTGGGAGAGACCTCCGTAGACCACATCGACCGGCCCCTTGCCCCCATCTTCTAGGTGGGCTTTGCCCGTGGAGCCACAGGTAGGAGACGGGAGGGCAGAAGGAAAGGGAGGCCTGTGAGGTGCCTCCCCCATTCCTCCCTGTCTTGTTAGGATTCTGGTTTGGCTGGTTCCTCTAAAGCCACAGCTCCTGGGGAGCACAGGATGTGTGGCTTCCTGCTGCTGCTGGGTCTCTGGGTCCCTTTTTGCTTTCCCTTAGCCTCCCCCTTCCTCTGAAAATAGTCCTCCCTTTATTCTTCAGAGTTCCCTTGAGTGTGCTGGGACGCGGACTAGTGAACCATCCTAGGAAATAACCCTCGAAGGAGCAGAGCCTGCAGCTGGGCTTCTGAGCGGCGGCTGAAGCTGGATGCGCAGGGACGAGAAGAGAGGGCTTTCCGGGGAGCGCGGTCCGAGCCCGGGCACCAGGGAGCGAAGGCTGATCATGGGAGTCTTTGACCACCGGGCTGAGGGACTTGGCCTTCATCTCTTGGGTTGCATTGAGCTACTGGAAGGTTTTGAGCTAATGAAACAAACATCTAACTTTATTATTTAATGGTTTTGTTTTGCTTTTGTTTCCACTTTTCCCCTGTTTTTGAATTTACTAACAGCTAACGTTTATGAAACACTTACCTTGAGGTTGAATTGTGTCCACTCTGAATTTCATATGTTGAAGTCCTAACCCCCAGTACCTCAGAGCGTGACCTTATTTGGAGGCAGGATCTTTACGAAGGTTATCAAGTTACAGTAACGTTGGGGGGGCGGGCATGACTGGTGTCCTTATAAGAAGGAGAAACTTGGACACAGACACGCTACGGAGAGACCCGCATGGAGGGAAGAGGGTGTGAGACCTAGGAGCAGCTGACCATCTGCACACCAAGGAGAGGGGCCTGGGACAGATCTCCCCTCACAGCCCTCAGAAAGAGGCACCCCGGCCCATGTCTGGCCTCTGGAACTGTGAAATACACAATTTCTGCCGCTTAGGCCGCCGGGTCTCTACCCTTGCTAGAGCAGGTTCAGCAAATGAATCCACTCCTGGCGTGTGGGTCACGTGTGCACGAAGTGAGTTGCGGGCCGGCCCTCCCAGCTGCCCCACCACGCAGGCCATGCCTCTGGGCCCCCCTCTGTCTCCACACACTCGCATTCTGGCCGTAACACTTAGAGCTCGGGCGCCTTTTCCGTGGTTATTAACATGCTCATTTACTGAGCGCTTATTATGTGCCAGGTGTTCTTGTAGGGTCTGGAGAGACAAACGGATGAAACTCCTGACTGTCCTGGAGCGCATCGGATGTGTCTGCATTTGTCTGTCTGTCTCTACCAGAAGAGCAGCTCCGTGAAAGCGTGACTGGGTCTGTACCGTGCATGACACTTGAATGTCTGTGGAATGAATGAGAAGGACACGCGAATAAAACATTGACGTTTTTGCCCAAGGTCAGTAAGTGAGGGCCAGGCCCCAGATGCTGCAGATTAGACAAGCTGAGGCTTTGCATCACCATCGTCAACTCAGTATCTCTTGTCAAACCATAGGGACAAGGGACTTCGAGCATGAAAAGGGACGAGCCACTTTACGGTCCTTGCTGAAGCCCGTAGCTCCCAGTTGTTTATTTGGCACAGAGATGCCATGACTCAGAGGACCCGAGGGACGTTTAAAAGAGAGGGACACACAGACTTTCTATGGAATGTCTATTCTGGTTTCAAGCACATCTAAATACCCAATTAGCTTGAAAGAACTCTGACCCGCCCATAGGCCAGCAGTGGCCTCCTAAGTGCTAGTTCATCCAAGGATCTCTGGCTACTGTGTGAGGAGCAGGGCTCAGTGCTATCTGGTGTGGCAAGCCACTGGTTTGATTTGAAGCTCTGAAATACATATTTTCAGCTGCATTCTTTATTGGAGGTAGGAAGGAAAAAGAAAGAAGGTATTAGCTGGCTGGAGGCCCAAGGTATGGCACAAAGAAAGCAGATTCTAAATGCTGAAAGAATCCTTCACCCCATACCTTGGGAATTCTCACAGACATCCCCCCATTTTCTTCTAAGGCCTCCCTGCCAGCCCACCTTCCTCAGCTTCATCTCTCCTCAGTGGCCCAGGAGTCCAGTCTCTTCTTTTGGGTCACAAGATCACATGATCATCTTGACGATGTGATTACATTCAGTTACCTGCCAGACACAGAAGTCCTCAGTCTGCAACAATGGGGGTGCAAAATGCTACAATATTTGCATAGTGGACAACACCAGCCCTGGGGCCACCACTTCTGAAAGGCTGCAGATGCTATCCTGGAACGATGGCCAGTCCCCAACACCAGACCCTGAGACTAGGGCAGCCAGGCCCGTTGGCCAGGGGTCAAACACCCTCAGGGAGCTCCACGCTGCTCCAGCTCTCTCTTTCTCTTTTTTTTAAAGATTTATTTATTTGAGCATGCACAAGCAAGGGGAGGGGCAGAGGAAGGAGAGAGAGAATCTTAACCAGACTCCCTGAGTGTGGAGCCCGACATGGGGCTGGATCTCAGGACCTGAGATCATGACCTGAGCTGAAACCAAGAGTTGGATGCTTAACCAACTGAGCCATCCAGGTGCCCCTCCAGCTCTCCTTTTCAACCATCGTCCCAACAAGACTACACTTAGACAACAGTCATTTGTCCCTTCTAGTAAAATGTGTGAATGATTTGTTCACTAATTTATTTTTTGCAACTAGAGTGATTTCTAGATTACCTCCATTACAATGCCCTTCTACCCACTTTTATCCTGATGTGCCGTTGTGGGTGGGAGAGGAAAGGTGGAGGCTGGCCAACATGCTGGGAATTGGGCACCAGTGTGGGAGGGGCCGTGGGAGTGTATTGCTTATACGAACGTCATCATCTTATATGTTGTGGCAGAAAAAGTGGGGACCCAAACCTCTTTCAGGTTGTTAAGAGATGGGCTTCTGGAAGACCCATTAATAGAATGCTTTGGAAACCAGCTTGGAAAATTTGACACGTTGTCACTTTCATCTGCTAAGCAGCTTACAAACATTCTCCCAGTCCTTCCCATGACTCCCTCCAACATCTTTGCTTCAGCCCCACCATCTGAATTTTCCAAGTGAGATCACAGACCCAGAGTGGGCTGGCTCCAGGCTCTGGGAGGGTGTCAAAGGCAGATGTGAGGTTTGGGGACAGGAGCCATCAGTCTTCCGGAAGGTCACCCATTTCACTCAATCTGTTGTGATAGCCAAAACCTGCCCATCACAAGACAACAAATCCCTGAATTCCTCAGAGCTCCAACCTCCTGTGTGGGAGCAGTCCCAGTCCTTGCACTGAGATGCCCCCTTGCCCTCCTGGCTGCTGGGGATGCACACTTCCCCACTTCCCCCAGGCTGACTCCTGGTGCCTCTGGGCTCAGGATGAGCTCAGGCCCCTTCTTTGCAAGAGTGAAATATCCGAGGGACCAGAGCTGCTTCTGGGACGTTTTAGAATGTGTACCGCAACAGGCAAAGCCCAACCCAAAGGGGCATTCTCTTTTCTAGGGGACCTCAGGGACTGCCTTCGGATTCCCCTCCCCTCTGACTTTTGTTGCGATGGCCCAGAGCAAAGTCTCTGGTCTGCCCGCCCCCTCCCCGGCCCCGTGAGCAGGACCCCTCTGCCAGGCCGGGGCTTGGGAGGCAGCCGCCAAGTTAACGGTCTTTTTCATGTGTGCCTCTGCGCCTGCCCGGTGAGGGGCATGATGGATGCCCTGGGCTACCCTGGGGGCAAAGCCGAGGGATGACCTGAGGTGGGAAAGGAAAGCAGGTTTGTAAATAAACAAGGGCAGAGTCGGAGACCCGGGGCCTGGCTCCCGCCACGGCTTTCCGGGCTTCTGACGAGGGGAGCTCCTGAGGCTCCCTCTGGGGTGGCTGGGGAGTCCGTTATTGTTTTTGGATTTCACTAAGATGAACTCCAGATGATTTTCCAAGGGCTGATTTCACAGCACATTTGCTCCATCTGAGCAATCACTCTCTGCAACAGTTGGATTTCCATTCGCGTTTACCTCGTGTGCCCGGAATCAGGACTGTCTGCCTCCTTAGGGTCGAATCATTTTCTTTTCTTTGGGACTTGGCCAAACCCTTTCCGTCGGTCTTAGTTCCATCTAGGCATTTCCATTTGCGTGCGGGCAAGACCAGACCCAGTTCACAGAGGTTTCCAGAGCATGAGGACAATGGCCACTCCTTACAGAATACAGAAAGTGAGGAGAGAATCACCCTATCTTTTCATTTCACAGAGCTAGATATTTAGCTGCAATGGAAGACGTCAAAAGCCAGAATGATACCCAACTCGGGAAAGGCCATGTTCTGTGCCAGGATGCTTCTGAGGGGCCAGGACAGGCCTCTGGAGGATGCGTGCCAGGACGGGGATGGGCAGCATCGCGCACGGCGGAGCACCCCGGAGATGTGTGAGGGGCGGGGGGCTAAGCGTAGCCTGACTGAGCTGTTTCCGGGACTGAATGCCTGGGAGGGAGAGGCAGTCGACCTTGCATTGAGTCATGTCCTTGGTGTGTTGAATTGCATCAGAGGCTCATTGCCTTTATTTAATTTTGTATCTTCCAATTTTTCTGATATTTATACTTTTGCAGTACAAATAAAACCAGCCCTGGAAGTCAACCTGCAGGTCATTTTTTTTCACTCAAGGAGAGATACCTGTGCCTAGCCTGGACACAAGGGTCACCTGATGCCTAAATGGTTACGGTGAACAGCCTTCGATCCTCTGTGAGCCCTACTGTCCATAGAATGCCCAGCGGTCGCCCTGTCCTCATGCGTTTCCTTACTGGGACACGTGCCCTCCACCAGGACGGCCCTACTCCCAGAGCTGAGTCCTAAGATTCTCCCTGCTCATCCCAAAAGTTACTGCCCCTTTATCTGCCCTCTGACCTCACTTGGGGGGCCATGCTACTGTGGCTAAGGGTCCATCTCTTCTGGTGCCTTGGTGCCCTCCTCAGGGCATAGGGATGGAACCATGGAGCATGTCTGTCATTTACTTGCTGACTGAACACCCTCTTTTATGATGGCTCATGGTCTTCTCAATCCCACTGCTTCCTCCAACCCTCCACCTCTGGCTTTGCCACCCTCCTTTTCATGTCCCCAAGGATATCCACAGACTGCGCTTGATGATCCAGCTGGGGGCAGCCACCCAGCAGAAGGGTGAGTCCAGGCCCTGGAGCCGGACCCAGATGCTGGCTTGTCTCTGCCACTTGTTAGCTGTGTATCCCTCGTTTCTCAACTTCCCTGAGCCATAGGGCCCTTATCTGTAAAAACAGAGAGAGGGCTAATGCAGCTCTGAGTCTTACATTATAGATGATAGAATCTAGTGTTAAGTAACTCCCAAATTTTAGGAAAGTGGGAAAGAAAGGAGTTCTTCTCCACTGGGGTTTATTTTATAATTAACAATGGTTAGGGAGCCTTCTCTGAAACTTACCTCTTAGAAGACTGGGATTTCACTGAATCCAAGAGAAACGTGCATTCAAACTGAATTCTAGAAGAAAAGCAAGGAAGGGAAGTTGAACTTTGCCAGACCCTTGGGGATTGAAGATCTTATGCAGCTTCCTT